TCATCAAATGGAGAAAAATCAATAAAGAGATAGAAATGAAACTATTACGTGTAAGTGGATAAAAAAGGTCCTACTGTATAGCATAGGGACCTATAATCAATATCCTGGGATAAACCATGATACAAAAGAATGTAAAAGACATATGTGTGTGTGTGTGTGTGTGTGTGTGTGCAAGCAACAGATTTTGCTGTATAACAGAAATTAACATAACACTGTAAATCAACTATACTTCAATTAATTTTTTAAAAAAGAGATAGAAATGATTTTTTAAAAGAAACAAATAGAAATTCTGGAGTTTAAAATAAAATTGAAGTGAAAGATTCACTGCTAGGGCTCAGCAGGAGATTTGAACTGTCAGAAGATGGATTTAACAAACTTTAGGAGAAGGAAATGGCAACCCACTCCAGTATTCTTGCCTGGAAAATTCCTTGGACAGAGAAGCCTGGTAGGCTACAGTCCATGGGGTCGCGCAAAGAGTTGGACACGACTGAGCAACTTCATGTTCACATTCACGTTCAAGATAGATTGACAGCAGTTATAGAAATCAAAGAAAAATGAGGGGGAAGAATGAGCAAAAATGAGAAGTCTCAGGAAAATGTGGGACATGATGAAGCACCAAAATATGCACAATGGGAGCACGGGAAAGGAGGGAGAGAAAAGAGAAAAAAAGAAGTGATGACGGAAAACTAAGATCTACTAAGAACACTTATATAACCAAGAAGTTCAGTGAACTCCAAGGACCTCTCATCCTCATCTTATGGGTGTTGAAACACAGGCAGGGGGTGATTAATGGCTTCTCACTCAAGCAAGAATAGAGTCAGGGTCTCCCCAAGGTGGTCTGAATCTACAGCTGGAGGTCTTAATAACCATACTTGGTGGCTTCAGTGACATGTTTCCCTTCAAAATTCAGAGTTATGTTTTTCATGGGATTCCTGCAGACCATGAAAGTGCAGTGACTTTATAAGCATGGGTGAAGATTACTGCAAAAATGTGTTAGTCACTCAGTCGTGTCTGACTCTTTGCAACCCCACGAACCACAGCACACCAGGCCTCCCTGTCCATCACCAACTCCCGGAGTCCACCCAAACCCATTTCCATTGAGTTGGTGATGCCATCTAACCATCTCATCCTCTGTCCTCCTCCTGCCCTCAATCTTTCCCAGCATCAGGGTCTTTTCAAATGAGTCAGCTCTTCACATCAGGTGGCCAAAGGATTGGAGTTTCAGCTTCATCATCAGTCCTTCCAATGAACAGCCAGGACTGATCTCCTTTAGGATGGACTGGTTGGACCTCCTTGCAGTGCAAGGGACTCTCAAGAGTCTTCTCCAACACCACAGTTCAAAAGCATCAATTCTTCAGCACTCAGCTTTCTTCACAGTCCAACACTCACATCCATACATGACCACTGGAAAAACCATTTCCTTGACTAGATGAACCTTTGTTGGCAAAGTAATGTCTCTGCTTTTTAATATGTTGTCTAGGTTGTTCATAACTTTCCTTCCAAGGAGTAAGTGTCTTTTAATTTTATGGCTGAAATCACCATCTGCAGTGATTTGGGAGCCCAAAAAAAATAAAGTCTGACACTGCTTCCACTGTTTCCCCATCTATTTGCCATGAAGTGATGGGACCGGATGCCACGATCTTAGTTTTCTGAATGTTGAGCTGTAAGCCAACTTTTTCACTCTCCTCTTTCACTTCCATCCAGAGACTCTTTAGTTCTTCTTCACTTTCTGCCATAAAGGTGGTGTCATCTGCATATCTGAGATTATTGGTATTTCTCCCGGCAATCTTGATTCCAGCTTGTGCTTCTTCCAGCCCAGCATTTCACATGATGTACTCTGCATATAAGTTAAATAAACAGGGTGACAATATACAGCCTTGACGTACTCCTTTCCCAATTTGGAACCAGTCTGTTGTTCCATGTCCAATTCTAACTGTTGCTTCCTGACCTGCATACAGGTTTCTCAAGAGGCAGGTCAGGTGGTCTGGTATTCCCATCTCTTTCATAAGTTTCCACAGTTTATTGTGATTCACACAGTCAAAGGCTTTGGCATAGTCAATAAAGCAGATATAGATGTTTTTCTGGAATTTTCTTGCTTTTTCAATGATCCAGCAGATGTTGTCAATTTGATCTCTGGTTCCTCTGCCTTTTCTAAAACCAGCTTGAACATCTGGAAGTTCATGGTTGACGTATTGCTGTATAATTATAATTATACATTATAATTGTAAAATGGCTAAATATTAATATCCCTTACCAGATACTGTTGGGCTTTTCTGGTGGATCAGAGGGTCTGTCTACAATGCAGGAGACCCAGGTTTGACCCCCAGGTTGGGAAGATCCCCTGGAGAAGGCAATGGCAACCCACTCCAGTATTCTTGCCTGGAAAATTTCATGGATGGAGAAGCCTGGTAGGCTATAGTCCATGGGGTTGCAGAGTCAGACATGGCTGAGCTAATTCACTCACTGACTCACTCACAAGATACTGTTAATAATTTGAGGCATTTACACACACAAAGGTTTAAAACTTTTAGATGGTTGAAAATGGTGGAATCATGTGCAAGACCATGGATAAACTGTCGAGAAAGGGTTGAGGAAAAAAATCAAGGAAGAAATCAAATATAACTGAAGACCTACAATGACAAAGATGGCATTGGTGGTCCAATGACAGGATTCTCACCATTCTGCAATGAGGAAGATGGATACCGAGGCTGAAAACAAAGAAATAGGCTTTGAGATGTGAAGAACAGAGATCAACTGTAAGGCTAATCATGTAACAATCTCTTCCCCACTTCTCACCCTGCACAGCCTTCCTGCCATCTCAGCTGAGGATCTAGAGAAGATGGTGAGGCCAGGGGCGAGTGAGAGGGTTCTCACACTTGGAGGAAAGGTGAGAACGTGTCCCCTCCAGGGACAGAGTCACCTCTGCACCCAAGTGGACTGTTCTAGAAGGCACCCAGGTGCACAACTCTTGAAAAGACCAATATCCTAGTTGCCATTTTTATAGAAATAAAAATCAAGCTGCATTGTATGATGAAGAACATGAGAACTGGTCCAAGGGATGGGTCCAGGCTCTATATCCTAGCATTTCCGGGGCATGTTGCTACGTGATGGAGGTGGGATGTTTGATGTTGACTTACTGTCGGTACGTCGAGCTCACCACCAAGAATGTCTGGGACAGACTCTTCCATGGATGGGACCACTGAGAGAGCAGAAGCTGGAACACACCTTTAGGACCCATTTCCAGCGTTCTCAGAACCATCCCTAAAGTGTTGTTGGGGCAAACTATGGACGCACCACTTGAGCTAGAAGAAAGGCTGCTTAAGGCCAGGTCTTGGGAGGGTTAATCCCAGCCGTGTCTTCCCTGCATGTAAGGCCCAGCCCCATTTCCTCCCTGAAATCTGGAATCCCAACTGTGTGGAGGGAGGACACACACGTGCCTGAACCGAAAGAACGTCACGCCCAGCTGTGCAGGAAGAGGCGACGCCACAGGGCTGCTGAGCAGGTGGGCTCAAGCCCCAGCCTCCCCTCTACCAGCTGGAAGAAGTTGGTGTTTCCTAAGAGAGTCAGAGACGCCCTCTGCATACTGCAGGCCAGAACCCGTTAGCTCCAAGCCCAGCAGCACCAAACTCAACTTTGACGAATCCAATTGCTTTTCTCAGCGTAAGTACAGTTGATTTACAGTGTTGTGTTAATGGCTGCTATAAAAGTGATTGTTATACATATATACACATTCTTTTCCATTTTGATTTTCACAGGATATTGAATATAGCTCCTTCTGCTATACAGTAGGACCTTGCTGGCTACCCACTATGTGTATAAAAGCAAACCTCTGCCAACCCCAGCCTCCCACGGTGTCCCTCCCCCAGCCCCCTCCACCTTGTCAGCCCACAGTCTGTTCTCTGTATCTGTGATTCTGTCTGTCTAACAGGTAGGTTCTTTCGTGTTGTACTTCAGATTTCACATTAAGTGATATCATATGATGTTTGTCTTTCTCTTTCTGACTTACTTCTCTTAGAGCCCAAATAAGCAGATTTTAAGTCAGTCAGGACCTCCTGTTTATCCAAAACTGCAACCAGCATCTGTGAGCCATAGATGAGACAAACACCCGGCCAGGAAAGACCTCAAGCCACAGCTCCGCTTGGCACTCTCCGACACAGAGGCTCCCGCCACACTGCTGAGTGAAGTCGCCCACAAGCCCTCTGCGGCTCCCCTGTTCCAGGTGGCACGCCTGTGCTGTAGCTTCTGGAAGGTCCCGTTCTACGGGGGGCTTCCCCCCGTGCACCCTGATAAAGCTGCTGGGCACCACTGCCAGCTCACGGCCGTGTCATTCTCCTTAATCAGCCCCCAGGTCCCTCCACCTCACACCGTGGTCAGGCCACCTGACACCTCTGTGTCCTCGTCTGAAAAATGAAAGCACTCACAGGCCCTCTGCGTGTGTGTCTGTGTCCAACTCCCCAGCTCCAGACGCTGTAGCCCACCAGGCTCCTCTGTCCACGGGATTCTCCAGGCAAGAATACCAGAGTGTGTTGCCATTCCCGTCTCCAGGGGATCTTCCCAATCCAGGGGTCTAACCCAGGCCCCCTGCATTGCAGGCAGATTCTTTACCTCTGAGCCACTAGAGAAGCCCACAGGTCTAACGCCACTTAGAAGCCAAATCAGGAACCGCTGCCTGGCTGGTGTACTGGGCGAGGTCCTCACGCCTTTCCTGACTCTCAAGACGCCTTTCTCAACAGCCGCTCAGCGTGGGATACACTGAAGCCCACACGGCCCCAACCCCCTCACGCGCCTATTTGCTTGTTTCTCTGTTTACCTCCTCCACCTGCTTACTTGTGCTTGAATATTTCCTGAACGTGAAAATGCAAGGAGTAAAATATGAGACAGAGGAGCCACTGATGAGGGACGACATTCCAGAGAACATAAGAGAATCCTGGAGACCCCACTGACCGCAGCATTACAAGGCCAGAGCATCCTTGTTCTCCTGGCCCTACGCTTCCCTACAGCTCTGCGCCCACAACCACGAGCATCGTCTCTGAGATGGGCCGCACCCCGGATGTCTGCTCACTCTCAGCCGAGCACCTCCACCCCAGAACCGGCGGTCGGCCCCCTGGAAGGCGAGTCGGGGCCACCCCTTTCTTCCAAGTGGCTCCGGACGTTCAGGGCGAGGGCTTCACTGCTCTCCGGCCCAGAGCAGGCAGCCCCTTCCCGTGGCCCCCGCCTCCCCATGGGGGTGTGCTGAGCTGTGAGAAGCGCGAGCCTCCCCTTTCTCTGTGTTGAACGTCTTCGAGGCCCCCTGCCCCTGACGTGGGTGAGGACAGTAACGGAGACCCGGGCTGCCTCTGCTGGGGTCTGTTGTGGGGACAGTGGCCTCTGCATCACTCCCGCGGCCTCCAGGCGCACAGGGCTGGTGACCAGATCAAATGACAGGAAGCTGCCACCTCTGCAGGTCAAAGCCCTCTGGGTACCAGTGGCATCTCGTGGTCCAGCCTCACCTTGTTACTATCCGAGGCCACCGACAGGCGGTGTTTTACAGCCATGCAGACCCCCACGTGCTTCCTCCCGGCTCCCACAGGACAGACAGACCAGCAGGTTACCTGTTACTGACAAGCTGTCCATCAGCTGGAGGTTGCAGCATGATAGACGTATTCTTTTAAGATGTTGAATTTTCCAAAGTCTCCAGTTACCAGACTCCTGGAAAAGAACAAGTGGGCTGGGGGACCACCGTTGCCTGCAGCTCTGTGACTCTGGCTCGGCCGGATCTGCTGGCCAGCACTGGGAAGGGTGACATGCTGAGCTGGGGTGGCAAGACCCCCACTGAGGACCAGACCCAAATCTGGGCTTCATGGTCACACGTTCCCGGACTTCCAAGATGGCTCCCCTCTATTACGAGATTTAAACATTCTTCTCATTTCCCTGGGCTTCCCTGATAGCTCACTGGTAAAGAATCTGCCTGTAACGCAGGAGACCCCGGTTCAATTCCTGATCACAAAGATCCGCTGGAGAAGGGATGGGCTGCCTGCTCTCGTATTCTTGGGCTTCCCTTGTGGCTCAGCAGATGAAGAATCTACCTGCAATGCGGGAGACCTGGGTTCGATCCCTGAGTTGGGAGGGCCCCCTGAAGAAGGGAAAAGCTACCCTCTCCAGCATGCTGGCCTGGAGAGTTCCATGGACTATACAGTCCACAGGGCACAAAGAGTCAGACAGGGCTGAGCAACTTCCACCTTCACTTTCTCATTTCCTTGAGCTCGAATGCTCTCACCTTCATGAAAAGTAACTATCCACTGTGTTTGGAAGAGACGACCAAGAGCCTGCATTTAGTGGGTATCTGGTACCACGTGGGGCACTTGGAAGAAACTATGGCCAAAGCATTAGACACAGTTCCTGCCTCCGAAGGGCTTGCTTCTCCCAGGGGACAGAAGGGTGAGCAGACAGCTGGCATGTGGTCGAGCATGTCTGCACTCAGAAAACTACAACACGCACGCGTCAACACAATCTGGGGCGGAGACAGAGAGATGACTCTTAGGGGTGGTGATTTCTAAGCTGATCTCTGCAGAGTCCAGAGGAGACAGCATATGAAAGGGCGGGGAGAGGTGGGGCGAAGGCTTTGGCTCAAGGGCAACAACGGGAAGAAGCCGGAAGCCAGAGAAAGTGAGGCAGGAGGCCAGAGCCCAGACGGCAGCAAACAAGGGCAAAACATGAGGCTACACCAGCTCGGCAAAGGAGGGTCTTGTGTGTTCCAGGAAGACCCTGGACTTTATTTTATTCTGCTGAGATATAATTCACATTTGATACTTTTATCCCATTTCAAGTATACACATCAGTGTATACGGTCTAGTCACAAGGTTGTGCAACTGCCACCACTACCTAATTCCAGAACATTTTCATCATCCCCTAAAAAACCCCACCTCTATGAGCAGTCAGCCTCCACCATCCCCTCAGAGAACACAGTCTGTTTCCTGTCTCAATAGATTTGCCTATTCTGGACACTTCACGTAAACAGAATCAGACAATCTGTGGTCTTTGGCATCCTTCACGGAGCATAATGTTTCCGATTCATGCATGTTGCAGCAGGTGTTTGAACTCCCTCCCTTTTCATGCCTGAGTAATATTCCACAGCTCAGATAGACTTGTTGCTGTTGTAGGGTTGCTAAGTCGTGTCTGACTCTCTGTGACCTCGTAGGCGGCAGCACACCAGGGTCCTCTGTCCTCCACGATGCCCCAGAGTTTGCTCAAATTCATGTCCATCAAGTCGGTGATGCCAGCCAACCTTCTCATCCTTTTGCTGCCCCCTTCTCATTTTGTCTTCAATCTTTCCCAGCATCAGGGGCTTTTCCAATGAGTCAGCTCTTTGAATCTGGCAGCCAAAGGATTGGAGCTTCAGCTTTAGCATCAGTCCTTCCGATGAATATTCAGGGTTGATTTCCTTTAGGACTGACTGGTTTGATCTCCTTGCAGTCCAAAAGACTATTAAGAGTCTCCTCCAGCACCACAGATTGAAGGCATCAATTTTTCAGTGCTCAGCCTTTTTTATGGTCCAACTCTCCCATCTGTACATGCCTACTAGAAAAACCATAGCTTTGACTATAAGTCAGACTTTCTTATATGAGCACTGGGGCCCAGTAAAATGAGCATTTCTTTTTTCCCCACCAGAGATAAAAAGCATTTAAAGACTTTAATATAGTAGTTTATACAGGGAATATAAGTATACAAGTGTAATTCAATTTTATGATATCTCAAACCAAAAAATGGTATTTCATCACTTCAGTCCTTTCTTTAGTTTGACAAACAGCAGTTGGTACACACCTAATAAATTATTTTGATTGAAAAAGTATATTCTGTAGAACTCAGGATTGTGAATTCAAAACTATACTTGATTCTTATTAGGTACATGTTGCTATCATCTCAGATTTTTATCTAATTTTGATGGTTCAATTTGACATTTCTTTCTCACATCTCCTGCTGATGATTTACATTTCTGATAATGTATAATATCAAGTTTAATTTTTCTAAACTGACACTAATTTTATTTCTTGCCCATATTTCTTTTCACTTTTAGGTCCATCTGCCTAGCTTCTCTGTCCTGACTGGAATTTGCAACACCATCAAGTTTATCATGAACTGAAAATGTCACAATCTTTCTTCCAAGTCACTACTGAAGGTGTTAAATGAGGCAGATAAAATGAGCATTTCTTTAGCACCTACTGTGTGTAGAGTCATACTTTGTATGTGCTGTCAGATTCACGATTTTAAAGTTAAAAGCTATTATTTCTTCTTTCAACATTCATTTATTTCTTTGGCTGTGTCGGGCCTGGGCTGCAGCATTCAGGATCCCTAGTTGTGGCAGAGGGTCTTAGTTGCCCCGTAGCACGGGGGGATCTTACTTCCCTGATCAGGGACCAAACCCAGGTCCTTTTCATTGCAAATAAGAGTCTTCACCACTAAACAGGCTGGGAAGCCCCAGATGCTGTGGTTTCTAGTGATAGAAACCAGCACAGAGGGTCCGCTGGGGGCACACGGCTGATGCATCGTGGAGGAGGAGGAGGTTTCCAAGACCTTCCAAAGGTTCCACAGCGGGTACATGGCCGAGCCCGACAGGAAGCCAGGTCTCCTGGCTCAGAGCCCCACGCCCTTCCCAATGTTGCAAAATCTGACTTCTTTCTGTGCAGGGCCACCATGCCCCTTGTTGAGTGAGCAAGGCAGGAGCTCTGGGGCTGTCATCTGGCATGCTTCATTCTGCTGTGCAAGGGTTTAGCTGAGATGCCTGACATTTCCAGTAGTCTTGTACAGATGTGAGAGTTGGGCCATGAAGGAGACTGAGTACTGAAGAATTGATTCTTTTGAACTCTGGTGTCAGAGAAGACTCCTGAAGAGCCCCTTGTACAGCTCCTTGGAAATCAAACCAGTCAGTTCTAAAGGAAATCAACCCTGATACTCACTGGAAGGACTGATGCTAAAGTTGAAGCTCCAATACTTTGGCCACCTGATGCGAAGAACTGATGCATTGGAAAAGACCTGGAGGCTGGGAAAGACTGAGGGCAGGAGGAGAAGGGGACGACAGAGGACGAGGTGGTCGGGTGGCACCACCGACTCGACGGACAGGGATTTGAGCAGCCTCAGGGAGATGGGGACAGAGAGGGAGGCCTGGCGGGCTGCGGCCCACGGGGCCTCGGAGAGTCGGACACGACCGAGCGGCTGGAGGAGAGGCAGGGCTCCAGGTAGCACCACAGGGGAGGAGGAGTCCCACACCGTCCCCCTGAGACCAGCATGTCCGCAGGCCTCTGTAAGGCAGGTGGGGGACCATGCAGGGCACCTGGGAGAGTCTGTCCTCTGATCTGGAGCTGCCAGTTTCCCTTCCTCTTCCCTTTCTCTCTTGGCTCTTGCCAGGACCCATGGCAAGAGAAGAGTTAGAGAGTTTACTGCAAATTGGGTGGACTTGGAGGGCATTATGCTAAGTGAAATAAGTCAGACAGAGAAAGACAAATACTGTATGATGTCACTTATACATGGAACCTGAAAACTACAGTGAAAGCTGCTGAGTTGTGTCTGATTCTTTGCGACCCCATGGACTATACAGTCCATGGAATTCTCCAGGCCAGAATACTGGAGTGGGTAGCCTTTCCCTTCTCCACGGGGTCTTTCTAACCCAGGGATCAAACCCAGGTCTCCCGCATTGCAGGCAGATTCTTTACCAGCTGAGCCACAAGGGAAGCCCTATCAGACAAAATACGTCCTTAATCTAGACCACTCTTCATCTTTCTCAGGATTTTTGCTTGTTTGGTTGGTTGGCTGGTTTATGGTTTTTCTCTGGTTTTGTTACTCATGATAAATGTCCCAACTGATGCAGAACCTAGAACCTGACATTAGGGTACAAAAATTAGGATGGAAAATAAAGAGCTGTCAATAGGTTATTCCTCATGTCTATAAATATGAAATACTATATTATCAATAATCACATAAGCTTTTCTCGAATCTATCAAAAGGATGTGAAATTTATCAACTCATTTTAAGATGCTCACCTATTTCTGATACCAGTGAAATGTGAAAGTTGTTCAGTCGTGTGCACCTCTTTGCGACCCTATGGACTGCAGCTGGCCAGGCTCCTCTGTCTATGGAATTCTCTAGGCAAGAAAACTGGAGTGGGTTGCCATTTTCCTTCTCCAATTTCTAAAACCAAAGACTGTACAAATTAAACCCATCAGTGAGTGCAAAAGAGACTCTCTCCCAGGACGTTTCACCCTCGGAACACACAGATGATGTAACATAACCTGAAAGAGACA